GGGTTTCCCACCTGAAAATCTCCCTGAATTCAGGGGTTTCCCACCCTTTCTCCTGCCTGTGATTGCCTCTTGCAGCATGGGAGGAAGGCAGGACGGGTGGGAAATCAGCTGAGAGGTGCAGGTCTGGAATAGCAAACCAGGTTTTGTTTGCAAAACGTGGGTTTGGAAATGTCAAGCACGGTGAATGAGTGTAAAAAGGAGGAGGGAAAAAAAAAAAAAACCTCAACAAAGAGGGCCAGAAGCTGAGCTGGCAGCTCTGGGAGTGTGGGGATGCTCTCACCCCTCTGCCCTCTGCAGCAGAGCCTGACCTTACCAAATCTCTCTTATCCCACTGCAAATGAAGTGTGTCCCCCTCGGGTGGTTTGTCTCCATCTCATTGCATAGGCAGCTCACGGCTCGTTTGCTGCCTGCTCCTCTGCTGGAAAGGCATTTGATGGCCAAAAAAGGGAGCTGGAGCACAGGGAGGGGACAGGGAGCAGGGTCCAGGCCGTGCCACCCCTGTGTGCCACAGAGGGGATGCTCTATGGGTGTGACAGCCGCAGGAATGGGGTTTTCTACAGCTGGAAAAAGATGGATTTGGAGAGGGTTGGATGGACCTCTCACCCCTGCCTCAGTTTCCCCACACGAACTGAGACCATTCCCTCACCCATGAATTGCTTATTTAAAGATCAGAGCATAACAAACCCTCAGCTTCAAAAGCTTGGAAGCGTTTCCAATGGGACAAAAGGCCCAATAAATAATTAAACAAACACACTCATTTCAGCTGCCCTGGCACGAGATGAAACCTCGGATTTTGTGACAAAACATCTCATTTCCCTCCTGGATACCCCCAAGCCAAGAGGGCAGTGGGGCAGCTGTTTGCCTGGTGCCCTGCACAATTTGCCTGGAGGCTCTGGCTGTGGGGAGAGAGGATTTTACAGAAGATTTTACAGGGTTTAGGATCCATCAGCCATCTGCCCTGCTCGCTGGGGCTGACAGCATGCCCTGCGTGAATGGATCACCTGTCAGCAAGGCAGGGCGAGAATATCATTCAAACGAATCAATAGTTCACAGGCAATTTCACATTACCCAACACCAACGTGTCCAAAATGTGCTCCGTCCTGCCTTTGGTGGCATTCCCGTGGGACTTGGCTGGGCTGGAACAGTTTGTAAAGTCCCACGTTTGGGAGATTTACAGGAATTGCTCCTGCGTGCCCAGCAAAGATAAGAAATAGCTCAAGTTGCTGGAATTTCATCCCTCAGGGAGCCCAGGGACAGCTGGATCGGTGATGGGCATCCAGCAGCTGCTGCAAGTGTCACTCCCACCTTCTCACTCTGCTTCAGCAATTAGCAGAAGAGAAATTAGTGAGGGAAGTGCCATTATTCCCTGCTAATAGGACAGGGAGGGCTGAGCTTTTCCCCAGGCTTTGTTGTGTAGCTGCTTCTGTGGATGTGGGGAGCAAAACCGAGCCCTAATTTTTTTTTTAATGTAGTTTAATGTATTTTTAAATATATTTTTTATATATTTTTAAATATAATTCTAAAATGTAGTTATAAAAAATTTATACTAATTTTTTTTTAATGTAGTTGTTTTTATACTTCTTAGCACTTGGAGAAATACAAGAGGAGGCTCCCAACTCCAAAATTCCCAGTCAAGGCACCCTCCAACCCTCCCCAGGGCATTAGGGTGGGTTGGCAGCAGAAAGAACCAATGCAGAACTGGGGGTTTTTAGGGTTAGGCAGAATTTGGTTTCCTCTTCTTGTGGAAAAGAACTGATTTAATTTACCAGTTGAAACTTGGTGTCACCAAATTGGATGTGATAGCTTCACTCAGCATGTGAGTGATGCCCTCTTTGGAAGGTTTTGGGTTTTTTTTGGTGGAATTTGGCCAATAAAGCACTGGAAGGTTTTGAGGTTTTTTAAAGTGGAATTTGGCCAATAAAGCACTGGAAGGTTTTGGGGTTTTTTTTAGTGGAATTTGGCCAATAAAGCACTGGAAGGTTTTGGGGTTTTTTTTTGGTGGAATTTGGCCAATAAAGCACTGGAAGGTTTTGGGGTTTTTTTTGGTGGAATTTGGCCAATAAAGCACTGGACTCGGGTGATATCTTCATTAAAAGTTCCCCTATGGGTCTGGGCTCCTTTGAACCCAAAATTGTCATTTCTGGAACGAAACAAGCCTAAATCTGGCAAGAGAACACTCTGAAATCCCAGCCTTTTGAAATAGTTGGACTTTGTGGCTCCTCAGAGCCGAGGTGACCATGAAGCAGGAGCAGGTTTCTGAGTCTGTTTGGGTGTAAATGAGACAAGGAAATTTTATTAAGGTTTTTTATTATCATTAAAACCTGAGGTGAGCAGCACCTTGAATTAAAATGCAGGCTCTCCCTTCCAACATCTGCATGGGTTTCGCATCCAGGATCTCACAGCTCCCATTCCCTTCAAGGCCACTGAGTGGATTTGAGGTTTCAGTGCCTGTTTCCCCCTCTAACCCCATTTTCTGTTCTGTAGGAGTTTTCCCTCCAGCGCCTGGACACGCTGCTGGACGACCGTGTCAACATCCTGGGGTTCTCCATTTTCAACCAGTCCCACGCCTTCTTCCAAGAGTTTGTGCAGAGCCTCAACCAGTCCTGGCAGGAGAATTGTGACCACGCTCCTTTCACTGGGCCTGCAGTAAGTAAACTCCATTTCCATCCCTCAGAACCTGGGAATTCTGATAACGCCATGGAAAAACCTTGTGGGAAGAGTTTTGGGATGGTCCTGAGCCACTCAGGGGTAGAAACTCTGGTCTCAAATAATTTTTTTTAGAAGTTGTTTGAATTATTAAATAATTTAATTATTTAATCCTATTTAATCTTGTGCTAAAGAGCTCAGGGATATCCCCAGGCTGCTGTTGTACCTCGGATTAGATTTTATGAGGAGATGCTGGCCCAGGAATGGGAAGGAAGAGCCAGAGCAGAACATTTTTATTAAGGAGGTAGGAGAGGAGTTGAGCCGTCAATCTGTGATTTACAGAGGGTGTGGAAAACAGAAAAATGACCCTGAGAGTCAGAGCTGCCCAAAGGACCTTGGGGTGCAGAGCTCTGTGCTGGACTGGGAGCCCAGCTTTGAATTCCAGCCTGATTTTGATTTGGATTGTGTTTTTGTGTGGGTGCAGGGGATAATGCAGCTCTGATTTGGTTTTTGCCTGGTGAAGTTTATCCCTGAGTGTTTAAACTCCAGGAAAGTGGCTCCTGGAGGGGGGACAGTGGCTGCAGATGGCCCAGGAGGGGCTGAGCTGTGCTCTGGGCTGCAGCAGCTCCCCGAGGAGGATGAGGAGGGTGCACATCAGCACTGGAGCGTTCCCCAGGGATTCTCCACCACTGGGAGAGTTTGCAAAGCAGATTTGCCACATCGCAGCTGCAGCTGTGAGAAGAGAGAGAGAGAGAGGAAAATATCATCAGCTGAACCCTTTGCATGGGTTTTAATGAACTCAGAGCCCCTTGACGAGCTGAGCTGCTGAAAACCTCCTGATTGTCAGCACAAAGGGAGCCCTAAGAGGCAAAATAAGGAGATTTTTGCCCTTTGTGTCCACATCCTTTGGCTTGGCTTGAGCTCCTGTGCCTGGGACCATCCTGCCCTCCCTCCCACCCACAGGCAGCTGCAGTCAGCCTGCCCTGCTCAGTCCCCATGGGATTTCCAGCAGGAAAATGCCTTTTTGGATTGCAGGATCTGTGGAGAGGCATTAAAAACAAATTCCCTCCTCCCAGTGCAAACAGGAGGCAGCAGGAACCGGCAGCAGGTGCGACGGGGAAATGAAAATTCTCATTTTAGGTTCTTTCCCTGGGTTGTATTGAGCATCCAGCAAACCCTGCAGGTGGGAGGATGCCTGGAGGGACTGGAATTCTTCAAGATGGAGCAGCCCAGGTGATGGGAAAAGGATTTGAGGGTAGGGAAGTTACAGAGTACGGGTGAAATATTCCCAAGCAGAGTTTGTTTTGTCTGTGAGGTGAATCCAGGACCTTTCTGCCTCTGCTGTTGGAAATCTGGCAGGGAGCATCACTGTGTGCAGCCTTGGGATGGAGTTATTTTGTGGGATAACTCATCCTAAAGAGAGAAAAGGAGCCTCAACAGCTGGAAGTGACAGGAGGGAGGTTTCCTGTGAGCTGCAAAAATCCCAGGGCGTTCTTGCTGGAGCTGAGGAAGCATCTGACAAAGGAGGAGGGAGCTGCCTGCTCCGATGGCATCCTCATTAATCACATCGCAAAGAAAGGAAATCAGAGAAAATCATTCAAATTACAGATGGCTAGATTTGGTAATTAGAATTTAGGCTAAAACAGATGTTTGTAATTAAGTGTTTATGTCATTGAGTAAAATCCAGATTGCAAAGTCTATTTTCACAGGGTTTTAATGGCTTTAATTCCCCGTGTTGGGTTTGGGGGCAAAGATACAGCTGATAATGTTTTAGGGAGGGAAGGAAAAACCCCACATGGCAAAACTCAAACCTGTTCGTGTTTCAGTGGCAAGAATTGTCAAGAATTTGGGGATTGAGGGAAGTCCCCCAAGCCCCATGGATTTTCCATGGAGCTCTGATTTTGCAGAAGGGCACAAAACCAACAGGGCTCTGCACAAATCAGAGTGCAGGTGAGGGAGAGCATCAATTTGTTAGCAGGGAAATTGGCTTTTTGTGACACAGGGACAAAGCTGTGGTTTAAAATGAGAATATAAAAGCAGTGAGAGGTTTTTTTGGGGAAAGTTGAGCAATGCACAGGAGGGCAGGGACAGATCCCTCTGGTTGGATCTGCCTGCAGGACACTCCAAAAATCTCTTTTCACTCCTCTGCTGAAAATTACGACCTCAAAAATTTGTGTTTTACCTCTGTTTTGTGCAAAATCAGGGTGCAGGGAAGGGATTCCCATTCCATGCCACAAGAACTCGATCCTGTGTCTCTCCACACCCTCCCCAGGACTTAAATTGCTTGAAATCATCAAGGGTGATGGCAGAAATCCTGATGAATTTTCCAGAATTCAGAAGTAAAACATTCCAATCAATGATGTCAAATGCTTCACTGAGATCTGCAAGTCTCTTGCTCACCATCTAATAAGGGATTAACTGCTCAGGGAAAAATGGAAATGGAAACCCAGCAGGAGAAAATTAAAAATGCTAGGCCAATATTCAGATTTGGTAGGAAATGGGGGAAATTTGAGGGTTGCAGGGGATGTGTTTGGTCTTATAACAGATTCCTTTGTCCAGCTGATGTTAATATGGTTCCTGATTCAGGAGAGGAATTGCAAATTGGGTGTGAGATCCTGCCACCTGAACAGGATTAAATTCATAATTAAAATGAAGTGCATGGAAAAGGCTTCATGGAACAGGGGCTGAGGACAGGGCAGGCTGGAGAAGCTTTGTTAGGAAAAGAATTTGTATTAAAGGGATAAAAGAAGGAGAGAAGAATTTATCAGCTTCTTTAAGAACCTCTGGAAAAGGTTTTCCAGGAGGGGAATGTTTGGGTCAGCCTCAGCAGGCTGGAGGAGTGAAAGTTCACTGGTGTTGTCAGAGCTGGTGTTTGGGGTTTTGATGGAATCTTGCCTTTTAATTTTTGTCAGTTTTGAGGGGTTTGTGCTGCTTTTCAAGTGTCTAACCCCACAGCAGTGTGGTCAGTGAGGTCTAAGTAAGACCAAGAAGGGTTGAGTCAAAATTAGCAAGAGAATGGAAGGCCAAGGATTGTTGGGATCATTGAGCTGGGTGAGATTGTCCCTGCAGGACCACTGGCAGCAGGTTTTGATGGAATCCTGCCATTTAATTTAGGGTGATTTGTAGGTTTTGAGGGTTTTGTGCTGCTTTTCAAGTGTCTAACCCCACACCAGTGTGGTCAGAGAGGTCTAAGACCAAGCAGAGTTGAGTCAAAATTAGCAGCAGAGTGGAAGGCTGGGTTGGGATTGTTTGTTGGGATCACTGAGCTGGGTGAGATTGACCCTGCAGCAGTGAATAAACCTGGTCAGGCTCTGGCAGGAGCAGAGGATGCAGGGCTGGAAGTCACAGCCAGGCTGGAGACTGAGCCCTGTGCCAGGAGCTGGGATGGGAAGAGGATGCTCTTGGAAGCATCCATGGGGAAAATGCAGCCTTGATCGTAATGAGCTGCAACGGCTTAATTCCAGCAGTCAGGAGGTGACAGTAATTAAAAGTGAAATCTCAGCTGCAACAGTGAGCACGAGGGAGGAAAATAACTGATTGTTAACGAGCCCAAAGCCATGGAAACTGCTGTGCATGAGTGAGAAATGGGGGCTGTGAGGTCTGGTGGACAAAGAAACCTGGACAAAGCAGCCAAAGCCAAGGTGAGCAGGAGAGGGGATGAGCTCTGACACTCTGACCATGCCCTCAGCAGTGCTGCTCCAGGTTGTGGAGAGGGATGGACGATCCCTGTGGGGTCTGAAAGGCAGCATTTGGCTGCTGGACAAGCACATCTAGCAATTTCTCGTGGGTCTGCAATTTCTCTCAAAGAAGTGGTCAGAGAAGGCTGCCCATGATGGCTGAAGAGGCACAGCCGAGTTCCCTTCTGTGGGAGCAGCCATCAGATCTCAGGAGAAATTCCCCATGACAATTCCTGCTTCTCTCAGGAGCAATGCCCCCTGGAAATTCCTGCTTCTCTCAGGAGCGTTCCCCCTGGCCAGCAGACTGATCAGAGCCACCAAAACACTAAAATACCTCCCTTGATTAGGAAAGGAAAGCTGCAGAAACTGAGATAGAAAGGACTGGGAAGCAACAAGGACAAGCAGAGATAGAGAGACAACAGTGATGGATGAAATGAACCCACACAAAGGGCACCCCAGGTGACCCCAAGTCACTATAGGACATGAAATAAATAAATAAACACACTATATTCATTCCCTCACCCAGTGATTGCTTATTTAAAAATCAGAGCATAACAAAACCTTCAACTTCAAAAGCTTGGAAGTGTTTTCAGGGGACAAAAAAGCACAAAAAATAAATAAACACGCTAATTTATAGTGGGATAATATAGCACAAAAATAGCACGACATGGACACCCAGCTATCTCAAGGTAAAAAGAGAATTTTAAATTTCTGACTCCAACATTTGGAGATTTCCAAAAGTGACAGTGGATTGGAGGCTGACAGTGCCACCTCTGCAATGACACTGCACAAACCTAAAGTCCATCAAATTTCTCCTGCCTCCATAAAAGATATAAGTAATTTACATAAAGTTATTACAAAAAGTAATAGTACATATATAATACATATATATTTACAAAAGTTGTTACATAAAAGATATAAGTTATTTACAATGAGTTATATACTAACGTGCGCGAGAAAGTTCGTTACAAGAATTTAAACAACAGAAGGCTTGGGAAAACTTAATAAAACCAGTGTGACAACCCCAGGCTGTGCACGGAACACTCTCCAGCTCTGAGGAGCAGCAGGATGGGGGATTTTTGTGCTCCAATCTGATTTTTCCCTGTGTTTCCCAGCAGCTGTCCTCAGCACTGCTGTTCGGCGCCGTGTACGCGGTGGTGACGGTGTAGGAGCAGCAGGATGGGGGATTTTTGTATTTTTGTGCTCCAATCTGACTTTTCCTTGTTTTTTTTCCACCACAGCTGTCCTCAGCACTGCTGTTCGACGCCGTGTACGCGGTGGTGAC